TTTCTGCTCCAGCTCCCTGCTAATGCTCCTAGGAAAGCAGTAGAAGAAGGCCCAAGTGTGTGTGCCCCGGCTCCCACATGGGAGATGCCGGTAGAGTGCCAGGCTCCCAACTTCAGCCTGGCCCAGTCCTGACCATTTGGGGAGTGAACCAGCGGATGGAAGACCTCTCTCTCCTCTCTCTCTCTCTCTCTCTGCCTCTCTGTAACTCTGCCTTTCAAATAATTAAATAAATCTTAAAAAAAATAAAGTACCCAACCAGTGTGTGGCAAACACTGCCAGTGCCCCCAGACCCCTGCCATGGCACTCAGCTCTACTCTCTGGAGGAGTGTTAAGGCCGGGGTGGGGGTGGGGGGAGGCAGCCTGTGCGTGGGGCAGCGTCAGGATCTATGTCCCCAGAAGCAGCCCCAAGGCAGCAACAGAAGGGAACTCAGAGAAAGGACACCTGCCTCCCTTACCCTCCCCAGTCTAGTCCACACCGGCTCCCAGTGTTCCGCCCTGGGGTAACCGGCTGGCTCCCCTGACCCTGATGGCCTTTGCTGCCAGGCCTTCACCCCCACCCATGCCGAGGAGTCCTGGGGTCACCTTCCCACGACACAAAACCTTGTCACTGGATCATCTGCAGGAGCCCAAACCAAGACACAGAAACAAAAGTAAACGCAAAGGCACAGCAGTGGAGTCTTTTTTTTTTCCCAAAGAAACCTTTTATTTCTTTTTTTTTTCTTTTTTTTTTTTTTTTGACAGGCAGAGTGGACAGTGAGAGAGAGAGAGACAGAGAGGAAGGTCTTCCTTTGCCGTTGGTTCACCCTCCAATGGCCGCCACGGGCGGCGCATCGCGCTGATCCGATGGCAGGAGCCAGGTGCTTCTCCTGGTCTCCCATGGGGTGCAGGGCCCAAGTACCCACTTGGGCCATCCTCCACTGCACTCCCAGGCCACAGCAGAGAGCTGGCCTGGAAGAGGGGCAACCGGGACAGAATCCGGCACCCCGACCGGGACTAGAACCCGGTGTGCCGGGGCTGCAAGGTGGAGGATTAGCCTAGTGAGCCGCGGCGCCGGCCAGAAACCTTTTATTTCATGAGTACAGATTTCATAAGTACAACTTCAGGAATATCGTGATTCTTCCCCCCATACCCGCCCTCCCACCCCACCTCCTCCTCCCTCTCCCATCCCCAGTCCCATTCTCCCTTAAGATTCATTTCAATTATGTTTATACACAGAAGACAACTCTATACTAAGTAAAGATTTCAACAATTTGCACAAACATGCACAAAAAACTGTTTGAGAACAAGTTTTATAGCTAATTCTCATAATACAATTCATTGAGGACAGAGATCCTACATGGGGAGTAAGTGCACAGTGTCTCCTGTTGTTAATTTAACAATTAACACCCTTCTGGATGATGTCAGTGATCCCCTGAGGCTCTTGACATGAGCTGCCACGGCTATGGAAGTCTTTTGAATTCACAAACTCCATCAGTATTTGACAAGGCCATAAGCCAAGTGGAAGTTCTCTCCTCCCTTCCGAGAAAAGCACCTCCTTCTTTGATGGCCTCTTCTTTCCAACAGTGGAGTCTTAAGCGAGAGGCATCTTCGAAAAGTTTATGGAAAACCTGTATTGTGAAAAAACCATGCATGCACTCCCAAAATGGGTTTTCTTTTCAAAAATATTTATTTCCACCCTTTTAAACTGTTTATTTGAGAAGAAGAGAGAAAGAGAGAGAGAGAGAGAACGCACCCCATCCACTGGTTCATCCCCCAAATGCCTGCAACAAAGCTGGGAGCTGAGAACTCCATCCAGGTCTCCCACATGGGTGGCAGGGACCCAACTCCTGAGCCATCCCTGCTGCCTCCCAGGGTCCGCATTAGCAGGAAGCTGGAATGGGAAGTTGGAGGCAGGGGTCAGACGCAGGTACTCTGACAGGGTCATGAGTATCTTAACTGGTAGGCCCCTAAACTTATCTTTCACTTCTGTTTTTCCACAGAGGCAGCAGTGCAGCTGGACACACACAAACAGGCACAACCGAGGTGCACCTGCTGTGGCTCGCCGACACAGTCCGTCCTTCCTGCTTACCTGCAGGCTTGGCGTCCCGAAGTCAACTGATTCCAGATGGAAAATATTGAGGAAGAATCACCCCTGTACGGATATATGCAGACACGCCCCCTTCTCATGACTCCAACAGCTGTTGGCGCGGCATTGGCACTGTACTGGGCGTGGTGAGCGATCCAGAGACAGACACAGGAAGCTGCACACAGGCTCTGCGCCAGGGACGTGAGCATCCACGGGTTTTGGCATCCTGGGAGGGGAGGGTCCTGGATATGAGGCACGCTCTGCACATCCTCCTCTGGAGAGAACCTCAAATGCCTACGACTGAAGTCCCACTCAACATGAGGCCCAGCCAGCTGCTGCTGCTTCCTCACCGCCCCCCCTCCCCTGGCCCTGACTTGAGGACTGGAGCTGCTGCATTTGCGATTGCCCTTAAACGTGGAAAATGCAGGTGTCCACGGGCTGGGACCAGACTGGCAGCTGGGCAGCTGGACCATGAGGTCGCCACGGTGAGACAGCACTGGGGGAAAGCAGGGAGTTGGAACAGACACCACTGGCTGCCGACTTGGTTAGCACTAGGGTCAGCTGCGCAAGGTGGAAAACCAGCAATAAAAGGTTATTTTGACATTCTGTAGAAGTCACCAGGTAAATGTCCGAAGATGGGCATGGCTCTCCAGAATGCCAGGGACCCAGGCGCCTCCTCTGGTGTCACTCTGGTGACAGCAACTTGTGTTTTGTATTTTTTTTTTTTTTTGACAGGCAGAGTTAGACAGAGAGAGAGAGAAAGGTCTTCCTTCCATTGGTTTACCCCCCAAATGGCCACTATAGCTGGTGCTGCGCCAATCTGAAGCCAGGAGCCAGATGCTTCCTCCTGGTCTCCCATGCAGGTGCAGGGCCCAAGCACTTGGGCCATTCTCCACTGCCCTCCTGGCCCACAGCAGAGAGCTGGACTGGAAGAGGAGCAACTGGGACAGAACCAGCACCCCAACCGGGACTAGAACCCAGAGTGCCGGCGCCACTGGCAGAGGATTAGCCTAGTGAGCCGAGGCACTGGCCAGCAACTTGTATTTTGAAGATTTCTTCAGGGAACCCACATGGCTGCTGGACAAGAGTGGCTGGGAATTGGACTGCCAGGTAAACACACGTATCCCGTGATACCTGATGCAGGTAAACAACAAGTCGTTCTTTGGAATAACCATGTCCCAGTTATTGGATGGGACTTACTTATACTAAAAAAAAAAAAAAAAAAAAAAAATAAAAAGATTGCTGGCCGGCGCCGCGGCTCACTAGGCTAATCCTCCGCCTTGCGGCGCCAGCACACCGGGTTCTAGTCCCGGTCGGGGCGCCGGATTCTGTCCCGGTTGCTCCTCTTCCAGGCCAGCTCTCTGCTGTGGCCCGGGAGTGCAGTGGAGGATGGTCCAAGTGCTTTGGCCCTGCACCCCAGACCAGGAGGAGCACCTGGCTTTTGCCATTGGATCAGCGCGGTGCGCCGGCCGCAGCGCGCCGGCCACAGCGGCCATTGGAGGGTGAACCAACGGCAAAAGGAAGACCTTTCTCTCTGTCTCTCTCTCTCTCTCACTGTCCACTCTGCCTGTCAAAAAAAAAAAAAAAAAGCACTGGTTGTTTATCTAAAATTCAGATTTAACTGGCATCTTTTATCTTCTACATCTGACCTCTGTAACTGGGTGGGAAACAAACGAGTTACAGACATGGAGACACAGGACCACAGAGGAGAGAGAACACGGACCAACAGGCACACCAAAGGAGAGAGGGACAGATACAGAGATGTGGTCATGGGATAAATACGGAAGGGACAGAGAAGAGGCAAAGGGGGCAGCAGGGCCAGAGGCCACCCCCTAGACGGGGGACAGCTCCAGGAAAAGAGCAGCCGCTGTTTGGGAGCCTGCAGCCCACAGTAGCGCCTGGTTCTAGGCTGCGCCAGTCCAGCTTCCTGCTAAGGCACCGGAGCAGCAGCAAGCGATGGTCCAGTCCCTGCATCCCTGCCCCCGCGTGGGAGACCCAGATGCGGTTCCAGGCTCCTGGCTTCAGCCTGGCCCAGCCCTGGCTGTTGTGGGGATTTGGGGCAGTGAACCAGTGGATGGAAGATCTCTCTCAGTTTCTGTCTTTCTCTGCCTCTCAAATGAAATAAAAATAAAGAAAAGAAAATATCAAAGGAGATCAGTCTAGCCAGGACAGAGACTCAGGAAACCCAGTCGAAGTTCCAGCCCCAGGGCAGACAGGAGCAGGCCACCTGAAGCAGAGGTCATTTTATCTACGCACAGTCCAAAGTCCAGCACAAGCTGGCAAGGGGAGGACTGACCGGAGGGCAGAGTAGGAAAACACACACACACACACACACAAAACAACAACAAAACAACGGTTCTGGAGCACCAGCCATCAAGTCTGCGTTCCAGGCAGCAGAAGCAAGAAGAGTGTGTGAAAGGCACTTGCTGAGAGTTGCCTCCAGTCAGTCAGACGTCCTCTTTCACCCGGCTCCGGGGTCTGTGTGGTGCCTCCGTGCCTCTTGCCCCACCACGCTCCTCCTCTCAGAACGAATCCACAGCAACAGTAGGAAGCCAAACATGCAAGAGAAGCTGAGAAGTGTGGTTCTTATTCCAAGCGATAGTGGATGGTCAGAATCCGCACTGCCGTCATTCAGAAAGAGAACGGATACGGGCCCCGTCTCTTCATCTTGCTTGTTGATGGGGCTACATTGCCTGGACAGTGACATGCCTGGGGACCGTATTGTGCCTTTCATGGAAACACAGAGGTTCCCTCCTGCCACTGCTGGTAGAAGGACCCCAGTTGAGCCCCCTCCTTCTGTCCTAGAGGGCTGTGCAACCCCAGTAGACACCACACGTTAAGGGTTCTGAAAGGAAATTCATAGAAGATAAAATCTTCCTACACACAGTTTTGATAAAAGAATGACCTGAAAAGGTGAAACAAAGGGACTGAAATGTATAATTTTTCAGGTTTTATTTCAATACATAAATGCTCAGGTGCAATTACATGAGAAGATGTGAAGAAGTGAGTAGAAGCCAGGAGGCAGAGAGAGAAAGAGAGAGAGGTCTTCCATCCGCTGGTTCACTCCCCAGATGGCCACAACGGCCGGAGCTTCGCCGATCCAAAGCTAGGAGCCAGGAGCTTCCTCTGGGTCTCCCACATGGGTGCAGGGGTCCAAGGACTTGGGCCATCTTCCACTGCTTTCCCAGGCCATAGCAGAGAGCTGGATCGGAAGTGGAGCAGCCGGGACTCTAATCGGTGCCCATATGGGATGCCGACACTGCAGGCAGCGGCTTTACCCGCTACGCGACAGCACCGGTCCCAGGCAAACATGGTTTTAAAGCTGTGCAAAGAACGCCGAGTTTATGTGTAAGGCAGAGCGGGGTCCTGGGTGCAAAGTGTTGTTGTCCCCAGGAACGCCGACTTCTGGGTGTCAGCGTGGGTTCCTTGGGCTTCTCTGGCTCTTGGCAGGGCCTTGTCCAACCTCCCTGACCTCTTCTGAGGATGAAGACGCCCCTGGGGGTGGCACTGCCTTCGGGGAGAAGCAGACAGGGACGGACGTGAATGGACCAAACCCTGGTGAGACCAGAAGGAATCCCAAGTAGCTGGAGAACAATGAGGGCAGAGAAGTCGGCAGGGCCCTGTCACCCTTGGTCACAGGGCGACACGCAGAGCGCCCTCCTGGGTGGACGAGGTCCGCTGGCGAGTTTTCAGCAGGGCGGGGACCTGGTCTGGCCTCGCTGCCGGGCGTGAAACTCGTTCATTCCCTGTCCCCCAGAAAACAGCTGGGGGGTGGAGGGTGGGAGCAGGCATTCGGCCAAGTGGTTAGGACACCCACGGCAGCACCTGCGCCCCACGTCAGACTGCCCCGGTTCCACTTCCTCTCCTGGTTCCTGACTCCAGCTTCCTGCCGCTGCAGGCCCTGGGTGGCTGGGTTCTGAATCCAGTTCCTGGCTCAAGGGAGCGCTTCCGCCCAGCCCCTGCCATTGTGGGCCGTCGAGGAGTGAGCCAGCCAGCGGGAGCTCTCCCTATCCATCCTCTCCCTATCCATCTCTCTCTCTCGCTCACTCGCTCGCTCTCTCTCTCGCTCTAACAGAAACTTACTACTCAGCAGACTGCACCTTTGCACTTTTCTGGGAATTTCACACATTCGTTCATTTGCTCCTTTGCTCGTTCATCACACAAGGGTCGAAGGTGTCCCAGGGCCCTATTACCCCCCGCTGCACTGGTTCAAAATAATGATTCATTCCTCCCCCTCTCCCGGGGGCTGGCCGGGCAGCTCTTCTGCGGGGCTGGCCCAGTTCACTCCAGCTGGTGAGCTGCTGGGGACCGCGCACTCTCCCCTGCTCTTTCCTGCGAGGCAGCTTCTGAGGACTGCACAGCACCCAGGGAGCACAGGGAGCGCTGGGCCGGGCCTCTTGACGCCGAGGCTCTGGGACTCGTGCAGCTTCAGGGCCGTCACATTCTGTGGGCAATGTGAGGCCAGGGCCAGCCCAGATCCAAGGGGGTGAAGTGGACGCCGCCTCTTGCTGGGAGGAGCTACAAAGTCACCTTAGGAGTCGTGGAACTTCTGGGATTCATGGCCATGAACCAGTCTGCCTGGCTCTGGACAGGGCCCTGGGGGTGCAGCCTGCCCCTCCAAGACCTCACTCTAGTGGAGCCACAACATACCAGGAAGTGCTGTGGACAAGGTGGTCAGGCAGGGCCTCCCTGGCACGTTGGGCTGGACTGGAGCAAGTCAGCATGGATCACGGACGCTCCTGAGGCTGCCAGGAAAGACAGCCGTCCTGGAGCGAGCCCCGGGCCCCATGGCTCCCGGGAGGAGGCGGCAGCATGGGAGGAGGTGGGCCGGGGGACATCAGTAATGGCTGTTGCATCGTCATCTTCTTACGTGGGGTGGAATGTTAGCCCACCTGGGGCCGGAGGGTCTGACTTCTCGCCTCCGGCACAGACCGAGTGACACTGGCCATCTCCGACTCCTCCCCTGTCCGACAGCCCCTTAACCCGCCTGGCCCGGTGCACTGCACTGTGGGGAAGCCCAGGGTTATGAAGCAGAGTGGGTTAAGTTCCAGAGCAAGGCAGCACTGGCACAGCCGTGGCTCTGCACAGGCAGGGGTCAGGGACGGGGCAGCCCGTGCCATCGGCTGCACTGCGGTGCAGGAGGGCGGTGTGGGTGGGGCTGGGCGTGGAAAGTGCTGCCACCTCCATCTCCCCTCCTCCCCCTCCCCATCCTCTTTCTCCACTCCTGAACTCCCCACCCCCTGCCCTCCCTTCCTCCCCACCTCCTGACTCCTCCCCCTTCACCTGTCCTAAGTCTTCACTCACTTCCTCCCTGACTACCTCACCCGCTCCTTAAGAAAAGGAGAGGCAGAGAGGCACAGACCTTCCCTCTGCGGGTGCACTCCCCAGATTCCCGCCGCAGCCTGCGCTGGGCCAGGCCGGAGCCAGGAGCCAGGAACCGCATCCTGGTCTCCCATGGGGGTGGCAGGGCCCCCAAGTGTTTCACCGCCGGCTGCCCCCGAGGCGCAGGAGCGGGAAGCTGGCTCCGAAGCGGAGCCAGGACTCCACGCCAGGCACTCCGATGTGGGGTGTAGGCGTCCCACGCAGCCGCTTAGCCACTGCCCTAAAGCACCGGCCCTAACATCTTCTAAGCCGCTCGCTTCCCCTTTCCCCACACCTGCTCTCACGCCCCAGCTCGCTTCCACCCTCCGCTCTCGCCCTCACCCCTCCTCTGGCTGCTCTGCCATCTCGCACCAACTCTTCCCCTTCCTCCTTACCTCTGACCCCACCACCTCCACGCTCAGGTGCCTGCCAGCCCCTTCCGACCTCACCTCTCACCCGCATCTCCGCCTCCCTTTCTCTCCGGCTCCCCTCCCGCCCTCGCCCCGCCCCTGGTCGCCCACCTGGCCCCGCCCAAGGCCCCGCCCAGCCCCCCGCCCCTGCGGGTCACGGGGTCGACGGACGTGCGGCGGCCGTAGCGGCCCTGCCAGTCACGTGGTCACGTGACGCGCTCCAACATGGCGGCGCCGTGGAGCCGCGGCGTCGCTTCCTGACGGGGCGGCGCGCACGGACGCGGCCAGTGCCGGCTGGGACGCCGGGCCCGTAGCTTCGCTTGCCCGTCCTCTCGCTCGTGCCGCGCGCCCGCGGGGCTGCCAGCCCCCGCCGGGCCGGGGCCATGCAGGAGAGCCAGACCAAGAGCATGTTCGTGTCCCGGGCCCTGGAGAAGATCCTAGCCGACAAGGAGGTGAAGCGGCCCCAGCACTCCCAGCTGCGCAGGGCCTGCCAGGTGGCGCTCGGTGGGTGAGCCGCCCCGCGCCGGCCTCCCTACGCCGGCCGTTACCCTGCCCGGCCTCCCGGCCTCCGCGTCCCCTGACCCCGAATCCCACCCTCCCGGCCTGCTCCTGGGGATCCCCCCGGGGGAGCTGACGCCGGGCTGCTCGGGACTGGCCCAAGGTCACCTAGCAAGTTGGTGACAGCCGAGCCTGTTTCTCCAGCCTCCCCGCTCAGGGCTCTTGCCACGACTCCGCGTCCTGCTTCCTGGTTCCTCCCCGCGCCACCTCCAAGCCCTCAGAGCCGGTGGCCCCTGCCCTAAGAGCTTGCTTTACCTGGGCTCTGCTGGTTGGGGTGCCCCCAGGTGAGCAGGGCAGGTGTCGGGAGACCCCTGAGGCTGGCTTTGGGAGAGGCTGCCGGAGGACGTCTGCTTTTCCTTGGGGGCGTCCCGTCGCGCTCTCCAGCAAGGAAGGAATGCAGACGGTGACCCGGCTGTCCCGGGCGTCCTAATGCCTTGTGGTGGACGAGACCTCTGCTTTTTCCGGGCTGTCCCGTGGGCTACGGGGGCTACAGAGCAAACGTACTCGTCTGATTCATCCCCTGTTGTCCCTTGTAGCTGCAGCAGTGCCTGGCGCATAGCAGATGTTCAGTAAATATTTGCTGGTTGAACAGGACCCACGATGACAGGAAGAGACGCCTGGCTTATAGGTCGCCAAAGGCTTTGGTAGTTGATGCCAGCAGCAGTGCCCTGGCTTTCAGTTTTAACCATTCAACAAATATGTATCGAATGGCTGCTGTGTCTGGCAGTGGGTTGTGAATAGGACGGACAAAACTCTGCCAGAGCAGACAGCATAGGTAGATAAGAGAATAAGCGAACACCAGTAAATCCTGGTGCGAAAACAGAAGGGCCGGAGCTGGCAGAGATGCTTTAGGGGGGTGGTCAGGACAGTGACCCCTTCTGCGGAGGTGGCATTTGAGCTGAGTACTGAGAGGAGGAGGTGTCTACCGTGGAAGTCCAGCAGGAGCTGGGCGGAGAGGGTCAGTACCCTGGACCAGAGCTGGCCCCAGGGCCTTTGCTGTGGAGTCAGTAAGAAGGCCCGTTTCCCCTGACAGCGGAGCCGTGGGAAGTTTTTGGGATTGCCATTCCCTTTCTCCCTGCTCTGGGGACCCAGCTGTGTGCTTGTGCGCCTTGCCCTGCCTTTCATCAGGTTGAGGCTCGGCCGAGGGTCCGAGCTCATGATAAGAACGGAGTTGTTGCTTAGATAATCCGGAAACTGCTGCTAGTTCTGTGAAACTCAGGATTACTGGAAGGAATTTACTGAGATTTGGATGTTTAAGGCTTTCCAGTGCAGATACCCAGGGCGGACTGTCGCGTGTTGTTTTCTCAGGAATGTAGGCTGAGCAGTGCAGAGCTGTTTGTTAGCTACGCAAAATCCGGCCACTTGCACGTCCACGCTCAAATCCGCCTAGATTCTGTCCTCTCGACGTCACTTTAAGGCTCCTCATGGAAGTTTGAAAATAGTTATTTGCCAAAAAAGTTGTCGCTCTGCCCTTGAGGAAACTTCTTAACATAAAATGTTCCCTGGATTGTATGAGGGTTCTTCACATAGTTGATGGGGAATGCGTATTATGAAAAGAGTATACATACTTTTCAAAAAATGTTTTGCACCAAAATCAACCTTTAATTTCATTTTCTGTGGGCTTTTTGAAGTGCCTTCACATTGTTGGAACCTGCTTATAAAGTTGTCACATAGGTCATAAAGAACCATCACGTCGAGAGCTTATTCGATGATACTTTTGGATCATCTCTTTATTGAGTTCAGATTTGTCCGTCCCAGGTTGTGGCATGCACGTTTTAAGTGTGTAAGCGATGAAGGCTAAGAAATGGCCTATATGGGAGGAGCTTGACAGCAGCTGTATGTAAGATAGACTTATCATTGATTGTGAGTCACCACTGCTGTGGTGTAATAGGAACTGGCATAAGGACCCTGTTAATGTGGCCATCGTTTTAGGAGAGCAATTGTGTATCACTTGTGTTTCACAGAAATGACTGCTTTGCTTGTGAACTGCAGGAAACCATGAAGTACCTGGTGACATTCACTCCACACTTCCAGGGCCAGTTTGTGTCCAGTCGCTCCATTTAAGGAGAGAATTTTAACAAGCCAGTATAGGTGAAGTGTTGCAATGTGTTCGGTATTTTGGAGATTACTGTGTGTTGATTTCCATTAATTCTGATAAGAGAAACCATAAATGTCCGCTCGAAGTTGATATGCTTGCATGACAGTGAGCGCTTAGAGGCCAGAGCTTCCGTGATAGGACTCTACCAGCGGCAGCAGTTGGGGGTTGGGGGTGGGGATCGGGGCTGCAAGGCTATCCCTGGGTCCCCCGGATGTTAGAGGGTGGGAGCGCGACCCCAGCGACCTCGCGCTCCCTGTGTTCAAGTCCCCTGCCTCCCACCTGCTGCCTTTGTCCTCATGGGCGGGTGCTGGATCTTGCAGCTCCTCTTCGGTTCTTGGGAAGATGGAGTTGACATGTTCTGGTTCTCATTAAGCTGCAACAACCAAATGACGTTGCTTCCTCCTTCCGGAGTGGCTTACTGCTCTGTTTGGTCTGTAGAAGCAGTGAACACAGCTCTAACTGCATAGCTGAAAGACTGCGGAGTGTTAACTTGCTAAGCCCTGTGAGGGCAGGACTTGTCTCTCATAAAGGCAGTGAGGACCAGAGTGGAACGGGCTTGGAGTAATCTGGTGATCAGCCTGCGCCGAATACCTGGTGCATGGACGGGGGTTGCCCAGTCATGGGATGGTGTCATTCCGGCCTCATTGTGGAGAAATCGGCAGAGCCTGCTGTCCGTTGCTCCATGGACGTTGTTGTGTTAACTTGTCAGTGAAGCTTTGACCTGTATTAATGATTGTCAACCCTTTAGCCCACTCTGAGGGACTATTACTATGTTCTTAAAACCTGCCTTTTTATTAAGATTTATTTTATTTATTTGAAAGAGTTACAGAGAGAAGTAGAGACAGAGATCTTCTATCCACTGGTTCTCTCCCAAATGGCCTTAATGGCCAGGGCTGTGCCAGGCACAAGCCAGGAGCTTCTTCGGGGTCTCCCACGTGGGTGCAGGGGCCCAGGTACTTGGGCCATCTTCTACTGCTTTCCCAGGTGCATCAGCAGGTAGCTGGTTAGGAAGTGGAGCAGCTGGGACTTGGACTGGCGCCCATATGGGATGCCAGAGCTGCAGGCCAGGGCTTTAACCCACTACACCACAGCGCCAGCCTCCTCCCTTTTTTTTTTTTTTTTTTTAAAGATTTATTTATTTGAAAGGCAGACTTATGGCAGGGAGGTAGGGGGAGGTAGGGGGGGAGAGAGAGAGAGAGAGAGAGAGAGATTGCGATTGCGATTGCAACCGTTGGTTTACTCCCCAAATGGCCACAATGACTGGGACTAGGCCAGGCCAAAGCCAGGAGCCTGGAGCCTCATCCGGGTTTCTCATGTGGGTGCAGGGGCCCAAGGACTTGGGCCATCTTCTGCTGCTTTCCCAGGTACATTAGCAGGGAGCTAGATCGGTAGCAGAGCAGTAGGGGCTTGAAGCAGCACCCATGTGGGATGCTGGCATTGCAGGCAGCGGCTCAACTGATGATGCCACAACACTGGCCCCAAACCTCCTTTTTATAATTGTCTTAAGAGCATATGTTGCTTTAAATTATACTTCAACTTTTAAACTACATAGGGTTTAGAGACTTGACAAGATAATCTAAATGTTTTAAATTGGATATGCAGGAATTTGGCTCTGGTATTCACTGACCTGCTCTAATAATCCTCTTAAAAAATAAAGAAATTTATCTTTTTATTTGAAAGGCAGAGTTACAGAGAGGCAGAGAGAGAGAGAGAGAGAGAGAGAGAGAGAGAGAGAGATGTCTTCTATCTGCTGGTTCAGTTCCCAAATGGCTGCAGTGGCCGGAGTTGGGCTGATCTGGAGCCAGGAGCCTGGAGCTTCTTCCTGGCCTCCCACACAGGTACCTGGGCCATCTTCTACTGCTTTTCCAGGCCATAACAGAGAGCTAGATCAGAAGTTTAGCAGCTGGGATTTGAACCAACACCCATATGGGATGCCGGCACTTCAGACCAGGGCTTTAACCCACTGCGCCACAGCGCTGGCCCCTAAAAATCCTCTTTTCACATATATGTGAGATGTGGTATCGTATTTAAGAATGTGCACAGAGTGCTAAGTGTGCTTTAATTGCTAGCTGTCATTCTCATGAAAATCCAAAAAGAACAGGAAACATGTATGTTTTTCATATGAAATAGAGAGGCTTCTAAGAATCGCGTGCTGTGTGGTTTCCGCCATGTACTGTGCCTTTCTGAGTTGCACGCTCAGCTCTTGCTATCGTCATCCCCACATCCCCAGTGAAGTCGCTGGGCTGGGGTCGCTCAGCCAGGCCTTCTGAAGGAACCAGGGTGTGAGCACAGGCCCTGTGGCCGCACAGCCAGTCCAGCGCCCTCATCGCGCTTGGTGATGAGGTCAGTGAAAACCTCGCTGTGCTTGCTGGTGTCCCCACGTGGAGGCTCTCACACGTGAACTACTCTGTGAAGCCTTGAAAATGACCGTCCGCTGCCGTTTCAGTGCGGAGACCGCCTTCGCTGTCGCGAGTCGGGAGATGTGCTCGGGAGCCTCCGTTCTGCAGCTCAGTGGCGGGCGTCCTCGGTTTACTTTAGGGATGAGCAGAAAGAACCGGTGAAGAGCGAGCTTGGCGTAAGCGCTGTTGGAGTTCTGTTTTCCTGATTTGTGCGTCTCCTCAGCCACAGTGACTCCCTCTGAGCTGGAATGGTGTCTGTTGAGGGTACAGCAGGCAGTGGGAGACCAAGGCTCTGGGAACAGATTCGCCCACGGCCACCTGGCCTGGAGGGGAAGCAGTGGCAGCACACGCTCTGCCTACTGTAAAGGCTGGAAAATCCGTGCTCGGATCTGCCGCTCTGGCTCTTACATTTGTGGGATTTGGAGACATGCGGGTCATTGGTGACCTTA